TTGTTTTGAATCCCATGCATGCATATTAGATAGTTTTCTTAGTGTTTTATCTTTGTTTGAGCTTTTATAGGAAATTTCATTAGGTCCAAGTCAGTTCTGCATATTTGGAATGTTTATCAAGTACTTTGGAGGCACTTAGGAGCAAAGGAGTGGAGACCATTGGAGAAAATGTTGAAAAAGATGAAGAATGGGTCAAAAAATTATCGGCCACTTTGTGTACCACGAGTCATGTTTCTCGGACAAAAACATGTACCGCGGGCAAGAATCCTCGGCCAAAACATGTACATGATTCTCGGGCACTTTTCCTGAGCCGCCAATACACTTCAAAGACTGCCCAAGACGGAGGACTTCCAAAATTGTAGAGGATTTAGCTACCTTTTCAGTGAACTTTAAATCAGCCCGTTCGGATCAGTGATCAGAAAATAACAGCCATTTGAATGTGAACCTGTCTAGCATGCAAAATCCAGACCAAACCGATGCGGCTCAAAAAACTACTCAGACGAAGGCCATAATCTCTCCGGAAGCCTTGAAGCTCTTCAGAAAAGTTGTAGCCCATTGGGTAACTTGTCTTGTGGATCTAGAATCCGGATCACGTCCCAGAGCAACAATGAAGACAACCTTAGGCCTTTCTGCGAAGAACGTCTCCGGAAGACTAAAAATGACTTATAAAATTAGAGAAGTGGTTTCAGAGCAAAAGTAGCATGAAAACCTAATTTGTGTATGCTTTTGAATTTATTTTATCCGAAGAGATTTTCTTTTAGTCAAAAAATTATATTTTAGCAGAGAGATTTTCATTCTGGATAGTCCCATTATACATTTTAGTAGAGAAAATCTTTCCTAAATGGGGATAAACAAGGTACAGTTAAACACGTATATACAACAATATTTAACTTTCTAATTTAAAAAATTAATAAAAAATAAACATGTAAAAAAGCATCCACTTAAGAAATGCAAACTATAAGGAATAAAATAAAAATATGGATACCATGAAATTATCATTTTTTATACATATTATTGGTTTCACATCATCCATTATGATACAAGGAAGACTTTGATAATGTTAACAATCTTATAATGAAAAAAATCAAAATTATGATTTTTCATAATTTGTATTATAAAAACGTTGTAAATAGACTACAATAATTTCATGTTCTCTACAATTTTAATTTTTTTCCTTAAAGTTTAAGATTTTTTTTGCATTTCATAATTTAAGTACAACTAAGTACAACTAAGTATAACTGGTTAATTATATGAATATATAAATTAAAATTGATACTAAGTACAACTGATATAATTATACAATTTAAAATTGCAACTAAAATTAATTAAAAAATAATGAAAAGAGGACATGTGCGCCGACAAAAAGAGACATGTGCGCAGTCAAAGTACCACATGTGCCATCAATTTTTGTCGAGTTGTCCAATTCTTCATAGTTGTTCTTTGGTAATTTTAGCAATTTTCCAGTTATCTCTTAGTATAAATTATTATTTTGTAGTTGTCCACATGATTTTCGACTATTGTAGTTTATTTACAACAATTTCATACTACAATTTATGCAAAATCATAATTTTGCCTCTTTTCCATCATAAGATTGTTAACATTATCAAAATCTTCCTTGTATCATAAAGGGTGTTTGATGTGAAACCAATAATATGTATTAGAAAAACTATAATATCATGTTTTCCATCTTTTTAATTGTATTCCTTATAGTTTACAACTTTTTGCATTATTTAAGTGAAAGTAACACATGCACCTATGTGCACCGTCAATTTTTGTACATAGTTGTACCTAATTCTATACTTGTCTGAAATTCTTAATAGTTGTTTTTTTGAGATTTTAGCGTTTACATTGATTTTTAACTATAAATTTTTATTTACGAGATTTGCATATTACAAGTTATGTAAAATTATATATTTTGCCTCTTTTGTTTCATAAGGTGATTATCAATATAACATAGATGAAATAAGTTATCTGTTCCAAATATAAGGTATTAAATGATATAATATAGATGAAATTTCTTAAAATCCATTTGAATGTTGGTGTGGCTGATGCTCATTATCTCCTGAATATAGAATTTAAGAATTCTCAATTAGCAATTATTTAAGTTGTCTTAGTTATACCTATGTGTACCAGTTGTCCTTTATCTCATTGTTATACCATTTATACTAGTTGTCATTCTCCGCAGATTTGGTAATGAACTCAGGTTCTAATTCCAATCTACCTAAGAATCCACTACGATTCAATAACAACATTCAAAAAATTATCTATCCAAAGACCTAATCGTCACATAAAACTGGGTTATCAACCCGATTTGCATACCGAACAAGCAATTTTGGCAAATCCAATCCCTAAATTGTGAAATCCCCAAATCTCCTAATTAAAACCTAATTGGGTTTTGAAACTTCATCAATGATAGTGTGGAGAGTTGATAAAGACAATAAACGGATTACAGAGGATGAAGAATATGAGAAATAGGAAGAGAGTCAATGGTTCGAAGGATTTGAGATTCTACTTCGAGCTCCAATAAAAACGAACGCAGCTAGGAAGGAGGGAGAAAAGAAATACTTAAACCTAGATATTTAATAAATAATTAAACCTAGTTTTATTTAAATAAGTTAAAATCAGCAATGCCACAAATTGGATTCATTAAGGGTAAAATCGGAAATACATATTAATTATAGCACAAAGACTCATTTATGCAATGTCAGATTTTATTTTTTCAATTTGTGATATTTCAGCCATTAAACCCAATGGTGAGCCTGTTGTGAAAACAATCCATGTTCTTTTAGCTCGAAACAATATATCTGAAAAAACTGTAACAAATCTGAAGATATATTGATTTATTTACAGTGATTTTGGTGTGCACAATAGAGACAATTGCCATGGGGTCTTCGTAATCTGTTTAACGATCCAAAGGTTGATATGAAGACACTTTTTGGTTTGGTTGGAAGGTGTTTGAGACACTTTTTTTTTGGTTGGAAAGTGTTTGGTTTGGTCTGTTTACAAAGTTTTCAGAGAATATTACCTACAGAGACACTTTTTCAAAGTGTAATGTCAAAAAAAAAACACTTTTTGAAAATGGAGCATTGATCTTACTTTGCTCTCATTTTTTTTTGACTTTTTTGTCCTTTATTTCTTTTTAAAACGTATGAGACCCATTTAAATTCACTCATCATCTTCCACACTCTAAATCGCATGCAACCCACCTTAATTCATCAACTTCCACACACTAAATCGCACGAGACCCACCTATATATGTAACTATATGGATATACATGTATATTATATACATATATATTTATACAGTTACATCTAACTATATGGATATACATGTATATTATATACATATATATTTATATAGTTACATCCATCTATAATATATGCATGTAGATATACATATATATATATATATCTATATAGTTGTATTTATATATATGCAACTATATGGATACATATGTAAATATACATGTTTATCTATATAGTTACATTTATCTATACTCTATGCATGTGGATATGCATATATATATATATATATCTATATAATTGCATAGATATTCATATATTTGTATCCACGTGTACGCTATTATATGAATACATATGTATATGCATATATATATATATCTGTATAATTACATAGATATCTATATATTTGTGTCTACGTAAACGCTACTATATGGATACGTATATGTTTATCACTAAACGACAAAGTAATTTAGGTTAAAAATTATAAAATAGGTATCAAAGTATTAAGAAAAAATTATATAATTTATAGTGTTAAAATAATTATTCAATTATTTTTTAAATAATAAATAAATAACAACAAACAATTATGGGGGTGTGTGATATTAATATAATATTAAATAAAAAATATAGATAAGTAAATGTGTGTTAATGAAATGTTTTTTTAGTCCTTTTTAGTGTTTAAATAGTAGAAAAATGTCTTTTTGGTAATAAAAACTCAAAAGTGTATGTTTTGGACATAGTTAAGCTCCGAATGGTAACAACGTTTTTGGCTGTGAGGGAAAAGCGATTTGAGAGTGTAGTACGGTTCAACTGCGGTACGTGCGAGAAATTTTATTTGCGGGACAACTGCGGTTTGAATATAATTGGCGGTACAGAATAATGTTTGATTGGTAAAAAACAGCTTGCGGTTCACAATAAGACTAAAGCGGTACGGATTACAAATTATAGATAAATAATTAACATAATTGTAACTAAATTATTAATTTTGGTTACTAAAAATTTTTTATATATATTTATGAACTTCAAATTTTCAAATTTTATTTCAAGTAAAAGTTTATTTTTTGGGATACAAATACTACTAAACAAGATAAAACTTAATTCAAAGAAATTAAAAGAATTTTATATTTTAAGAATTTTTTACAGTTTGATACAAATTTATTAAAAGAGTTTTAAAAAATAATAAATCATGAAAATATGGTTATGTATGTTTATAAGAAAAGAAGGGAGGAAGTGAAAGAGTTATATATATTTTTAGCCATATATAGTAATTTTTATTAATTAAAAAAAAATAATACACAGTGATTTTGCTTGAACCGCTGGGATAATAGGGCGTTTTTGGTTTTAACAGCAGTTCTCTCTTTTACTTGTTGTGCAAAACCGCTAATTGCATTTTTAAAAAAGAAAAACGCAAATTCAGACATAAAATTGTCTGATTGGTGACAGTCATGCGGTTTTTATTGTGTTTGGTTAAAAACCGCCTTTTTATTTTTTACCATTTATAACCTAAATTCAAAGTGTTCCACATGGTGACACTCGTGTTTTCAAAGTGTGAAAATAGTAAAAATCAATTTTATTGAGATAAAAGTGTTTTCTTTCTAAATAACTGATTGGATAAATTTATGCATTTTTGGAAAGTTTTTTTCGTGTGTTTATCTTTTAAAAATTGTCAATCCTAGTTTGCTAAAATTTAGAATTTTATTTTGAAAAAAAAAACTAATCCTTAGAAAAATAAAGTATTGGGGAGAGAGATAGAGAACCAGAGCGCCATTATCGTAAGAAATTTGTGGTCGTTCCTCGAAATACGATTCTGATTCTCCTTTAGATCCAATTCTATCTCCACCTTCTAAGCAAATTATTCGTCTCGCTACTCTCTTTCTTCTTCTTCTTATTGCAGAAAAAAGATTCTCTTTCGATTTATGTTTGTGGATCAGATTCTGGATAAAACGATAATCTATTTCTGAAAATCTAACGACTCTTTGCTCAAACTCGGATTCTAATCAGCTCTCTGGTTCTTCTCATTCTATTTTCTTCAATCTCGATTCAACTAAGAAGATTCATTTGATCATCGTTTCTGGATTGATATTGTAGAAGGATTCGTCGTTTCAGGGTTTTTGTTTCGATCATCGAATCGTTGTGTGTGTGTGTTATTCAATTTTACAAACCTGGCGGTGAGTGAAGGCTTGAGATTGAAGGTTCCGTCACCGGAAAACAAAAGTTTTGATTTTGATTGCGTTGGTGGTGGTCTGGAGTGCTTGGTAAGCCTAATCAGGGCCCTTGACATGGGGTCCTGTTTATCATCTTCAGGAGGAAGCAGAAGGAGATCGATCCATGGATCTCCTCGTGCTCCTCATGGATCTAGGAGGAGGAAGAGTTCCACGAGGAGATCCACGTCTTGTAGCTCTTCGTTCGATAACACCGGAGAAGATGAGCCACTTCTCCATAGGATCCCTGGGAGGATGTTCTTGAATGGCTCTACGGACATTGCGTCACTCTTCTCTCAACATGGCAAGAAAGGGCCTAATCAGGACGCCATGATTGTCTGGGAGGTTAGTTTTTGATTATACCGACACGACATTCTCTCGAACGTGTAGATAGCAAATCAAACTGACTTTATTGATCATTACATAGAATTCAATTAAGATATTGTATGAAAATATACTTGTTCATGTCTGGTTTTGTTGTTTCTGTTTGGATTCCACATAGCTCTCATTGCATGTATCAAGTGGCTGGAGGACAATATGCTCTCTATAACGTCTTGAGAAGTTATTTTTGAGTATGTGTAAATTCTTATCAAATGTATTAGTCTAAGGAACAATTGATTCACTTTGTAGTTTAGTTTCCATATAGTTTCAATTCAACAGATAAAACCACATTTGTTTTGTCCGGTTTGTTGTTTTGGATTCCACATAGCTTCCATTGCATTTATTAAATGGCTGCAGGATAAAATGCTATCTAAGAGGTATTGAAAAGTTATTTTTCAGTACGTGTTTGTCTCATCAAATGTATTGATTCACTTAGTGTAGTCTTATGATTCATTTAGTTTCCATGTAGTCTTATGTTTCTGTAACGAGTGGATGCTGAATAATCTGCCCTTTCTGAGGTCTTTGACCTTATTTTGTTCTCAGTATGTTTGCCATCTAAAAGCTGCATTCTTCAAGGAATATTTGATTTAGTCAAACGAATGAGCTGAGTAACTTTTTGCTGTTTTGGAGTTTATCGTTTTATTCGTTTCTTACCTCTAGATGTAGAGACTAGTGCTGTTTATGTAGTTTCACACTTTGTATTTTAATTTTCATATAGTTCTTATTGCTGTAACTTTATGCTGTTTTGGAGTTTATCTTAATTCGCTTTTCACCTATAGTTGTAGAGCCTAATGTTGTTCAAGTGAGTTTCAGCTGGATATGGATTAATTGTAGTTATTTAATGCATTTTACATGTTTTTAAATGTTTCAGAATTTTGGGTCTATGGCGGACACCGTTTTTTGTGGTGTTTTTGATGGCCATGGTCCGTATGGTCACGTTGTCGCAAAGAAAGTGAGGGATTTGCTTCCACTAAAATTAGGCTCTCATTTGGAGTCATATGTGTCTTGCGAGGAGGTACTTAAAGAGATCAGCCTCAACACTTCTGACAGAAAGATCTCAGATAACTTTGTGCATATATCTGCTAATGGAGAATCCCGAGTCTACAATAAGGATACTGTAAAGGATCCGGATATGATTCAAACACTGTTAGGCTCAATTGTTAAAGCATACAGATTCATGGACAAGGAATTGAAGATGCAAAAGGATGTTGATTGTTTCTGCAGTGGAACAACTGCAGTTACCATGGTCAAGCAGGTAAGTTCTAGTGTTTGTTTCTGAGTTTTTTTTTTTGTGCATAAATCCGTTTTCATTTGTGTTGATTGTCTTTCTTTTTTGGGTTTTTCGTTAGGGTCAACATCTTGTTGTCGGAAATATTGGGGATTCAAGAGCAGTATTGGGTACAAGGAACAAAGACAATAAACTTGTTCCTTTTCAATTAACTGAAGATCTCAAACCAGATGTTCCAGGTTACTATACCTTGCATCTGAAAGCTACTTTGCTTGATTTTGGTTACCCATTCATGCCAGATATCTACTGATGTGGCGACATGTAATGGTACATTTGAGAAGCATTATCAATTAAAGTTTCGAGTTTTCTTATTTTCACAGCGGAAGCAGCAAGGATAAAAAAATGTAGAGGACGTATATTTGCTCTCAGAGATGAACCGGGCGTTGCCCGCCTGTGGCTTCCTAACCACAATTCACCTGGTCTCGCCATGGCACGTGCTTTTGGAGATTTTTGCCTCAAGGACTTTGGTCTCATTTCTGTGCCTGACGTGTCTTACCGGCGCCTCACTGATAGAGATGAATTTGTCGTCTTGGCAACCGATGGGGTAGGTGAAAAAATGCAAGTTAGATTTCAGAACAGTTTTGGACATAAACCATAAAAACAAATGCCTAATGAATGTACTAAACTATTTGGTCTTTTCTCTCTGTGAAGTAAATTTCTTTTGCTTTTAAACTTTGCTAGATTTGGGATGTATTGACGAACGAAGAGGTTGTGGAGATTGTAGCAAAAGCCCCAACACGTTCCTCTGCAGGTCGAGCCTTGGTGGAGGCTGCAATGAGGAATTGGAGATGGAAGTTTCCAACTTCAAAAGTCGACGACTGTGCTGTAGTTTGCCTCTTCCTCGACTCGGAACCAAACAAATTATCAACTTCTTCTTTTTCAAAGGAGGAGAAATACATCAAGACTGGCGTTACTGAACATGAACCAGACACAGCATCAACATCAACTCCAGACTCGGGACACGAATCGCCTGAGCTCAATGGAGTCCACAGAATCGACACACTCGTGAATCTCCCAGTATATGTGCCGACCAAAGAGTAGGAAAACAGAGAACAGAGGCAGGAGGTTAAGATGTGAGATCAGACCTTGTCTCTCTTTCTTTCTCAGTTTTTATTGAGTCTCAATGTCTCTTTATTCTCTATGTTCGTGTCAAAAGTTACTGTTTGGTAAATTAGTGTTACACGCCAATACTTTTGAGTGTGGCTGGTTTGTATATATATCTACTCTGCCACTACTTTTGCTATAATATCCTCTTCTTTTGTAAATAAAATTCTGAAAGCTACATTTGAGTTTATTTGAGCAATTTCTGTTTGTCGAAAGAACACACAGAGTGTTTGAGCATGCATGGAGCCACCACGGTATTGGAAGTTGAGAAGCTGTATAGTTGCAGTACCTATTAATTAGTCTAAATGATTAAAAATTAGTGTTACGAGATCACGTAAACTACTATAGGTGATGCTACAATATTCATTTAGACCTGATTTTAATCCAAACATATTCTACAAACGAAAAATCATCATGATGATTTTACCTTAAATTTTATGTGTTTTAAAATTTTATTTTCAACATATATATGCGTTTTTATGATAAATCAATTATTCAAGCCAAATTTTTCTTTTAAGAAAATAATATTGATGAGAAAGAATTTTCACTAAAATCAAATCTAAGCTACGATTCAAATTTTAATTTTGGTATAGTTGATTCAAACTGTTTAGTTTTATTTCATTAAAAAATATACCTATCATTTTTTTAAAAATGTTATTTGTCGATGTTAACATGATAAAAACGATGCTTAATTAACACTATTACACTTGGATCATTTATGTCAGATGGGTAACCAATCTTCAAGTTTAATTCTAAAACTTCAAATCCAACAAAATTTGAAAATTGTTGTTTTGAAAAGAAAAAAAAAACTAAACTTTAAGTGTAATTTTCGCTAATATAAATTGAGTCTCTAATCCTTCAACTTCTCTTGTTTAAAACCCTGCAAATGCATGAAGGGTTTCCAAAAAAGTTTCATTTTGGCATAAAAACATGTTAAAATATGTATTTAACAAAATATGTTATTTATTATTTGGTAAGACATTGGTAGAATGCATAAATGGTTCTAGAATCGCTTGCAAAACCCTCTTGTTGCCACTGAGAATCAGTAGTTCAGTACTAGGATTGATTTAATTTGGTAAGAGATCAAAGGTCGAATATAAGTTTATGTGCTTTTGATCTGGCAAATTCGAGAAAGAAGGATCGATTAATTTGGTTTTGGGAAAAAAAATTAATGGATTCAACGGGCCCTCCATTTAATCAAACGATCCATGAAAATTTGAACTATCTGACTCATTGATCCATTTGATCCATGACCTATTTAACCCAACAACTCATTAGGATATATATATATATATTTTTTTATCTTTTAAGGTCACAGGTCATGGGGTTGAGTTAGGTTTATCCATGACCCTTGTCTCATTTTGACACCCCTAGTACTACCCAAACTTTTGAGATTGATAACTTATGTAAGGATATCAAGTGGTGGGCGATGAAATTTTGTTATGTTTTTTTTATACATGCTTTTATGGGATTCAAATGTGGTAGCTCATAGTTTAGCAAAACATGGTCCTTTGAACAATTCTTTCTACTCAAGTTGTACCAATTCACTTTGTTGGTTGTTTGGTTTGATTCAGTTTGGGTAATTCAAGTTTCGAGGTTTTCGAGTTTGATAAAATAGGTCAATAATACGGGATCAAGCTTTATATTAATTTTGTTCAAGTTTGAGTTATTCAATTTTTGGATTTTTTTTTGAATTTTAGAAAATATAATCCCATTCAAGATTAAATGTTTTATCGGTTCGGTTTGAATTTGAGTTTTGGAAAAAGATTTAAAATAAAGGAATATTTTAGATTTTAGTCTAATTTAATGTCGATTTTTGATATCTATTAACCAAAAATATTTTTTTTTTATTACTGGTTAGTTCAGTTAATTCAATCGGTTTCATACCATTCGGATTGGTTTAGGATCAAGTAATTTGCATTACTGGGGTTATTTTATGATATGGTCTATGTTAGGTTTTGGAAATTTCAGTTTAGATTCGAGAATTTTGGATCGGTTGGAGAATTTTAACCATCCATAGGCTTAATGGACTTACTAAAATTAATGGACTAGTTAGAAAGCCTTAAATTAATAGAATAAGTCTTGCTGTGATAGATGGTTCCAAATTGGGGGTATGAATAAACAAGAGCACACGGTTTTTCCTAAACTAATTTTACTTTTTAAACAAGAGAAGTTGAAGGATGAATAAACAAGAACAAACGGTTTTTCCTCAACTAACTTTTTTTTTTTTACATTTTTTTTTGATGATTTAGATAGAAAACAAGAAACAAAGGAAATAAAAACTCCTACTATTGAAACCAAAGCAACAACCGAAATGGGAAAGAACATGTAAGGAGTAAAACTCCTATTATTCAAAGCAACCAAAATGGGAAAAAAAAACCGAAATGGGAAAGAACATGTAAGGAGAAGAACTCCAATTATTGAAAGCAAAGCACAAAAAAGCAAAGAGATGGAGACACAACACAGAATTAGTCAACATGACTTCAGTCCATGTAGTTGATCGGTTTATCTCCAAGCTCCAAAGCATCGATAACCCAACTTTTTGAAGTAGACCACAATGCTAAGATGCTGAAACCACGAAGAAGACGAAGGAGAAATAGGATTTTCAACGGATTCTTCTGGAAGTAGAGAGTCCGTACGTGCAATGTCTGAGTTTTCAAACTCTAGGGTAAGAGTTTTGCCTGAACGTGTCATGTACAAGATCTGCATTCCACCACCACCACCTCTAATCCGAGGAACCAGATCCACAGTTGAATTCTCTTGGATGTTGTAACTCTCCAAGGTATGGTCACCCTTGAGCATATCCTCGGCAAAGAATAGCGCTTGTTGGTCCACAGGGAAGTCTCCCATGTCTCAGATCATCTTCTTGACATCATCAACAGTGTCTGATCTTTCGACAGCGAGGTTGAAGCGTTCGTTTGTCAATTTCTTGATGGAGATACGCATAATCGAGGTGTCGCCACTTTCGGCCAAGATCAACCTTTCCTGGTTCTGAATTTTTGCCTTTGTAATGTCCATGGCGTCATAGCTCTCAACCTCGAGTGTGTTTGTCTTGCCAGGGAGGGTTTCCACGATCGGCTTCTGAAAACAAGAAATCATCTGAGAATCAAAGAAAGCGAGTAGTAGTAGATCAGCAAACATATATAGACCCAAGAATCAACTATATATATTAAGGAAACGGAATCAGATCGATGTCAGACTCAAAACTTGAAACAAAAGAACCAGTAGAGAGAAAAGACGTACGTTTTACTGATAAGAAAAAATCAGGAGATCTTCGCAGAGCGATTTTTTTCTTTATTATTTTTGAAGAAGAAGGAAAAGTGCTTCTCTTATAAAACAGCCCAGGGGCTCTCACTTGAAGAACAAGGAGAGCCAAAAATTATCAATTAAAAAATCACCCTTGACGCTTAAGGAGCTACGGAAAACGTGTCCATGTTTGTAGTCTTGTAAGTATATAATATTTGGTGGACGATTGTCACCAAGTAGCCAAAAAAAGAAGAAAAAGGGAATAGGCGCTCCGCGGCAATATACAAATTAAACTTCATTGTTTCGCTTTATTTGTTCTTACTGTCTTTAATATATGATCTGAAGAAAAAAAGAGTTCACACTGTTTTATAATTGATTTGTTTATTTGATGGAACAGGGGATTTTTCTTGGTGGAAGGTTCTTAATTATGTTCCTTCACTTTGGTGTTTAAGGGCTAAAAGGGATCCTTACGAATGAGAAGCTGTCGAAAGATCCATTCAATACAAAAGAAGATCATCCACGTTATCAACGTTCAGCAGAATTTGATCAAAACTTTGATCCGATGGAATTTGAGAAACTAGAAAAGGCCAAGGATTTGACTGGTATGGAAGTCAAACACTGTAGTAGCAGCTATGTGGTCCATCTTGGAAAGATATACACAAAGACTTATTTTCCTAATCGCATCTACCTACACCTTAAGTTCTATACTTTCAAGATGGCGGATTCCAAAAGCATAGACGAGAATGTTGATGATTTTCTTAAGCTAGTAGCAGATTTAAACAACTAGGAGTGGATGTTGTCATAAGAATATATGGATTATTAAAGATGTGAGACTATAACTAAGAATATATGGGTACAAGAACTACTAACTCTTAGAATGAAGCAAGAAAGAAGAATAAATCAAAGTATGTGACATTCAGTCATAATCTGATTAAGAGACCAACTCCGTATGGTTTTGGGATAAGATATTCATCAGCTCAAGGTGGATAATCTTCTTCATTAAGAGAACCTGGTTTTGGTTTTTAGATTGATTCATATGTAATTGGCTACTTTCTTAAATTTGGGTCTGGTTTTTTTGGTCATTAGATTAAATGAATGCATGCAATACGTATATTTGGTTGATATAATAATTATTTACCACGTAAACACAATCTCAAGCGGAAAACATAATAATAATAAAATTTGTTGACCATTTACAGTAAATTCTTTTGTCCACGTTATAATTTTTACCATAGATTTGGTCAACGAGTTTCATTATTTAATAGAGAAATACATTATATAATATTCATTTACAATATAGACCAGAAATTAAGTTTATTCATGTATATAAACGCACACACATAAGGTGAGTACCATCAGTTCTTTGTATGTTTACATCAGAAAAAAGTAAATCAAATCTTAAATAATGCATAAATTTTGTAAAAATATCGTCATCTCTATCAAGAAGACTAAATTATTTTTTATCAAACAAACAAGGAAGATAAACAAAAATTCTTTGAGCTATCTTTCTTATACAGGTGTCTCTGTTATATTGAAATTTCTAACATTGACTTGAATATTATTTTTGATAGGTTTTTATTTTTCTAGTGATATTGAATTATATTTTAATAAAGACTTTCCCCATCTTTAATAATCAGAACTAATGACAACAACAAAAAATTCATCTCTTCTTCTATCTTCATTGATGGTGGTTGTTTTCATCCTTCAGCCCACAATTGCAGCAGATATCACGTTTATTTTATTGGATTTGTATTTTCGGAAATGCCAAAAATATGCATCATTATGATTAAATATTTTCTTCAATATTTCAAAGTTTTTAATAGACTATAAAGAAAATTTGCGGTTCAAAAAATTAAAATATTAATTTGATTATTTGTACAAAAAAAAATTCTATATGATTTTTATTGATGAACAGGAGATTTTGTCAAACCATGTTTGGAGGGATGTAATGATAAAAAATGCATATCTATGTGGTATTTTGAAGGAGAGTTTTGTAGAGAAGATTTTACTGGCATTTATTATTGTTGCAAAGTTTCTTTTGAATCTCGAGATGAACACCGGATATCTAGTCTTCGTTATTTATAATCAGTTTCTTATTTTATATGTAGTCTCAATTACATATAAATGATCGGGGAACATATATATAGATATGATAAATTAAAAAAAAATATCTAAATTTTTATTCACAATAAAACCAGCTAATGAATTCAAGAAAAACCACAAACAAAAATAAAACCAAAATAATAAGGTCAAACTTAAACATGTATACATTCCAAAATGTTAGAGAACACAATTCAAACAAATTCTAAATTACTGCTATTTTATAATATTTGGTAGTTTAATACAACAAAATAACTAGGATGTGACAAATTAGTCAATTTATTGCACAAGCTTGCATTTTAAATCTCATTAAATTGCCCAAAAAAAACTCATTAAATTATCGCTATGTGTTAGGATAAGATTAAAGCCGAAATCCTTTTTAATGAGGTCAATGAGGTTTTTCTCCTTGTTTAATGAGATTTTGTTGTTTTTTTAAAAGATTTTGTTGTTTACATTTTAATAAGTTTTACGTCCTCTCCCATATGAGAGAGGTAATATCCTTCAGTGAGTTAATTTTTTATTCATTAAAAAAGTTGGCCGATAAGAAAAAGGAAAACAAATAACATATAAAAAAAACTAAACAGAAAACGTGTTTTTTTTTTGTTTTTTTCTTAACATCATTAGTATAATGTTTCCAAAGGTATACATCTTATTTGGTCTCATCCCATCACATCACATAGCTTAAAGGATTCGTCAACTCCGATATGATTATAGACCACAACAACAATCCACATAACTTAATTAGTATTAAATCCTAATTCCCAACGTGCCAAAATTCAAACCATATAACTACTTTATGCTTATTCATTTTTTCAACACTTCATATAGCACCAACTAGTAGTAAACACAAATAACCAAAGAAGCAAACAAAAGAATCAAACAATGGAAGAAAATTACATCGAAGTTGTTCTCTACTCCATTTTCTCTCTCATCTTCTTGATTATCTCTCTCAAGTTCTTGAAACCAAACAAGCAGAACCTTCCTCCATCACCGCCGGGATGGTTACCGGTAATAGGCCACCTTCGGCTCCTAAAGCCGCCTATCCACTGCACCCTCCGCTCCCTCTCCGAGTCCCTAGAGGGCAGCGGGATGTCCCTCTGGCTTGGTTCACGCCTAGTCTACGTAGTGTCCTCACATAAGATCGCTGAGGAGTGTTTTGGGAAGAACAACGTCGTTTTAGCCAACCAGCCTCAGGTGATCATCGGGAAACATGTTGGGTACAACAATACAAACATGATCGCCGCACCTTACGGTGATCACTGGCGCAACCTCCGTCATCTCTGCACCATCGAGATCTTTTCCACACACCGCCTTAACTGCTTTCTTTCTGTCCGTACCGACGAAGTTCGCCGCCTCGTAAGCCGCTTGTTTCGTACCGCAGGTAATATGCTACATGTGTTTTTATTGTAAGAAGTTTTGTTGATTTTTTTTTAACAGAGGATTGTGTTGATATTGTCAACATTTTCATTTATTGTAGTATTATTATCTTACTATCGATATATTGACCATAAATGTTGACCCAACAAACATAATCATAGGCAATAAGAAAGAACCCATGTGGTTAATATGATAGATCATAGATCCCAAAAAAAATTTTTCACCAACTTTTTCATTATTTTTTTTCATTCTTTTCATCTTTTTGAATTAAAAGTGGTATCATGTATATATTCCTAAATAATAATAAAGTGGAAAAATGGGAATTATGTTTCTACCTTTTCTCTAAGTAACAAATACAAATATCAGAAGAAAATAAATTGTAACATATGCTTCACCACAACATTCAAAGTCATTATTGTGCTCCATGGACGTTATCAAAGAGGTTTTCATCATGATATGAAAGAATTGATGAGATAACCTGTATGTGGCCATAATCTTTCATTTGTTTGATTATATATTAGAATGTTTTTCTTTTGTGAAAAGTTAATGTCTTAGAATTAAAAATCCTTATAAAATCACCACACCCTTCATTTTTCTGTTCTATGTTTTGTGAATTGATTGTAGGAACTAAAAAAACAATTGTGGAAATGAAACCAATGCTTATGGACTTGACATTCAACAACATAATGAGGATGATGATAGGAAAAAGATACTACGGTGAAGAAACAACCGATGAGGAAGAAGCAAAACGTGTCCGAAAGTTAGTAGCAGATGTTGGATCCAGCACGAGTTCAGGCAAGGCCGTTGACTACGTTCCGATCTTGAGACTATTCTCAAACTATGAGAAAAGGGTTAAAAAGTTAGGAAAAGAGACAGATAAGTTTTTACAAGGGCTTACTGATGATAAACGTGAACAACAAGAAACCGGTAATACAATGATTGATCATTTGCTTGTTCTCCCAAAGTCCGATACTGAGTATTACACCGATCAAATCATCAAAGGCATCATACTGGTTTGTTTCTTTTTCCTTTTTTAATATTAATTTTGATATATTCTTTTACTAGGAAAATACCTTAAAATATCACAAGAATTGATTGGGTAAATCAAGCACACCAAATATAAATTCCAAAAATAGAACTAAATAGTTATGTACAAATATTTTTTACCCTAACTTGTATATTAAAACATTCTTTTTGGGTTTCATATTTCCCACTTAGTGTTTAGTTTTTTTTTTCAGTAGAAAAGAGTTTTGAGTCATTTAAATATTGAATTTACGCGAAGTTTGATTGGAACACAAATTAATTTTAAATAATCGCCCTTATTACTAAACTAAATCTATTTTTATGTTAATGTAGATTATGGTAATAGCAGGGACTAACACATCAGCTGTCACTCTAGAATGGGCACTTTCCAATTTACTTAACCATCCTGAGGTAATATGTAAAGCGAGAATCGAAATCGATAACCGGGTTGGTTTAGACCGGCTTATTGAAGAATCTGATCTCAGCGAGCTCCCATATCTCAAGAACATCATCCTCGAGACACTCCGGCTACACCCAGGAACACCATTGCTAGTCCTACACATGGCGTCAGAGAATTGTAAGATGAGGTCTTACGATATGCCACGTGGCACAATGTTGTTGGTGAATGCATGGGCCATACATAGGGATCCAAATATGTGGGAAGATCCAGATAGTTTTAAACCAGAGCGGTTTGAGAAAGAAGAGGAAGCACAAAAACTTATGGCATTTGGATTAGGGAGAATAGCGTGTCCTGGGTCGGGTCTGGCCCAACGGATCATTGGGCTTGCTCTCGGGTCATTGATACAATGTTTTGACTGGGAGAAAGTTGGAGAAGAAGAAGTGGATATGAAGGAAGGAGTTGGTAATACAGTACCTAAAGCGATTCCGTTGCAAGCCGTTTGTAAAGCTCGTCCATTTCTGCATAAGATTCTCTCTTAAAGTTTTGTTTAAAGGTACAAATAAAAGATGTGTTACATGTTATAATAAGTGCAATATATATAACTCTATATACATGTACTGATTTCACAATGCATGTATGTCATTCTGACTCATTATGTATTTGCATATGAATTTTGTAGTTAAATCATCAATGTACTATATATATACTCTTTCACATATAATATACCAACATATTTAGTAATATGGGAGATAAAAACATTGGCCAAGCAATATGGGCCTATATAATAATTAGTAAAAAATTCCGCTGAAAACAAAAGTCCAGATGAGATCAAGGAATAGCAGACATTGCGTGCCGAGCTAAAAATTTCACCGAGGTATAGTTTTTGGTAAAATAGAATTAAATGCGAAATTGTTAGTCAATCCCAACAATACCAAAACTCGTTCAAGCTCGTGAACTAAGGCGTCTGAACGTAACAGTTGGATCTTCAAATTTAGGAAACCTCAAATTTAAAGACTATTCATGGTAAATTTGGCGGAGGAAACGAAGATGTTAAAAATTATCTCGGAGCATAAAACAAGAACAAGAGCAAAGAGCAAGGTGACTTTCCTCCGATCTTGAATTCTACACACAACACCTCTCTCAACTCAAAATTATTTCTAAACTGAAACACTTGTCTTTTTTGTTTTTTTTTTCTTGTAAATCGCTATTAAGAATCGAAGCACTAAGCCAGTTAACTCAGCAAAAACCATGTCTAAATCGAAATTTTTAAGTACTGAAAATAAGTGTTGCACAAAAAGGTGGGTTAAGATTCTTTTTATGTAAAAAGTATATATTTTTTAAAGGCGATGAAGAATAGCGCTCAAGCAAACCACTGGTTCCCTAATGGGCGTTCCTATGGCTCGAATTCCGGCAGTCCCATCGTCCCTTCCTCCCCGCCCCTCCCCTCCTGCCTCCTGAACCGCCTGACCCAATTGATACCTCTTCTTTCCCGCCCCTCTCCTCCCCTTCCCCTTCTCCAAAAAGCTTGTAATGCAAACTGCTTCCCCCTCAAAGCCAGCAAAACAAGCTTCTCCCTCTCTTCCTCTTTCTCATCCCATTGCTATGGAAATTGGTTCCCTTCTTCAGAATTTTACCAATGTCCTCCCAAAAACTTACTGTTCAAAAAGGAATTTCAGAACATAAATACACTGTAGCCCAGACTGATGGCCTCCTTACCACTCCTCTTCCGAAGGTTACCCGTCTCTTTCTCAACTCTGCTCAGGCAGATCTTCCCCAATCTATGGGACCTGTGCTGTCTCAGGAAACAAAAGCTCTCTCCAGAACCCAATATGTTGCTAGTCAACCTGTGATTTCTGTTCCAGGAACTCTCTTCCTCACTACTAGAACGGAAGATGTGGCTACTGAAAACTCTCATCTGCTGCCTACTCCCCATATTCCTGTGCAGATATTGAGGCCTTCCACTGCCATTCCTGTTAAAGAGGTGGATGCGGCTCCAGTTGTTGCTGCTCAACTTGACTCTACCCTTCCCACTGTAAACCCACTACTACTCTGGTCCAGAAACTGAGGAAAGATGTTGATCAGTCATTGAAGAGATTGATTCCGGCTGAGGTCTCTCCTGAAGGGAGCCAAGGATCACCATTCCTGATTCTGTTTTTCCATGAAGGAGCCAAATTACACAAAGATTTTGTGATTGGTAAGTTCAACGGAAGAATTTCAACTTATGGGCATATTCAAAGTGTCATAAGTCACTTTTGGGGAAGAGGCCAGAGGATTGAATTGCATCTTAATCATGCCACCAATTCTATGCTTGTAAGGATACCAAATTAATCCATTAGAATGAAGGTAATTGAGAAGAAAATGTGGTACATCGGGGAATGCATGTTCCTGGTTGCCCAATGGGACGCTTCAGGTGGCACTAACCTAGATATTGATGCCATTCCTATTTGGGCCCATCTCAAGGGCATGCCTTTTGACCTGATGCACCATAAAGGAATAAGCTTAGTGGCTAGTCTTGTTGGAGAACCAAAGGAAATGGATGAATTTACTCGAAATATGGTTAGTTTATCTGAGGCTCATGTCAAAGTGGAACAAAACCTTAATACTCCACTTCCTTCTTCTGCAGAAGTGGTCCGTGAAAGTGGAGAAGTCCTCACTGTAGCGGTGGAGTACCCATGGATTCTTCCAATATGCTCTCACTGCAAGGAGATAGGTCATGTTATCAGATATTGTCCTGGTCTAACCCTTTCTTGGTTCCAAGCAAAAATGTCATCAGTAGAATCTAAGCAGAAAGGCAAATAGAAAAATGTACCCCCAAAGGCAACTCTTGATAAGGCAAACAATGGAGCAAACCTTCATGTTTTATCAGCTGCTCCTATTGTTGAAATATCTGGCTGCTCCATAACTACTCAGTTAGATGAGGCGGCTGGCACTGGTTCTGTTGTATCTGATTCAGTGGATCTGTCCTCCAAGTTATTCCCTTCTGACCCTATTTCACAAGTAAAGGAAAAAGTTTCATGCCTTATTTTTTCCTGCCAAAAAACTTCCTCAAATTCTTCTTTACCAAACAAAATCTCTCCCTCTTTGAAATGCTCGTCCCCCTCTTTGATGCCCTCTAAAATTGCTACCTACAATCCTTTTGATGTAATAGCTCCACTTTCAGTCTCTTTAAATGTCTTTGTTCCCTCTCCTGTTCCTATAATCACAAAAGCTCTTCTCCCTCACTTTCCACTTCTGTTTCAGATTGTTTACCTGTCCTTTATGATGATACTTCGCCATCTCCTGAGTTGATGTAAGAAAACCCAATCTCGTCCTCTCCTTCAACTTTTATTTTGGAAAATCTTCCTCTCGAGGGGGGTGATCCTTCTTACTCCTAATCTTTTTATTTCCTGATGTATATACAACCATTGTTTTGGAATATCTGTGGTTTGAATGACCCGGACAAACATCGGCCTTTTGCTTCTTGGCTTGCTACAAGCATTCGTTTGGTGCTATTATTGAAACTCATATAAAGAAACCAAACTTGAACCGTGTTATGAACCTTCAAACCATAGTTCTGATGAAGATGGAAAGATTGTTGTTATTTGGAGGTCTCCAGTCACTGTAACTGTTCTTCATCAGTCAAAGCACCTGCTCACTAGTGAAATCTCTATTCAAGGTGGCTACAGATTCTATTTCACAGCTCTCAACGCACCTAAACAAAGTGAAGACCGAACCGACCTCTGGTGTGACTTTCTGAACCTCTATCACACTTTTGGATTTGATGCTTGCCCCTGTATTCTGTGTGGAGACTTTAACCAAATCATTCACCCAGTTGAGCACTCTACTCCAAGTATAAATCACATGACCTCCCGTATGCTTGAGCTAAGAGACTGTCTAACACAACTTGAGTTGTTTGACTTGCGCTACCAAGGATCCCTCTTTACCTGGTCGAACAAGAACCCGTTAAACCCTATCTCCAAAAAAATGGATAGATTGCTTGTCAATAACCACTGGCTTACCTCTTACCCGAATAGTGTGGTTTCCTGCTTGCCTCCTGAAATCTCTGATCACAATCCTTGCCTCCTGAAAGCTCTGATCACACTCCTTGCCTCCTAAATCTTGCTGCTTCCCTCCCTCTGGCTTGTATTAAACCGTTCAAAAATTTCAACTTCTTAACAAAACACCCTCTCTTCCTCCATACAATTGAGACTGCCTAGATCCTGGCTGGAGATTTACACCCATTGGAACAAAGTCTGTCATCTCTGAGTGCTAAAGAAAAAACAGTAAAGAGAGAGTTAAAAACACTTACAAGGGAGAATTTCTCGGACATTCAGAACCGAGTGAGAAAGAGTAATATTTTGCTTCATACATCAGAGAATCAGAGACTATGAAAGACTAGGAGTCAAGGACACGATGAAAGATGCAAATACCTTCAGCAGCAAGATTTGGCTGAGAAATAGAACTGGTTTTGGATGAATCATGTTATAGTGGCTAATTCCAATTTCAGAAAGCCAGTTATCATCTCAAACCCTACAACCAACACTTAAACACAACCCACTATACCAAAGAAATCACCCTTAAAGAACTATATTCTTACACCAACCACCTCTTTTACGGTGATGCCCTGTATCCAACAGATAACGTAACCAAAAACCGTACCTTTTATGAGTATATTCTGGTAGACTCTAAATCTATCGAAGTTACTCATTACCCAGATCTAAAAAACCCTAACCATATCTCCTATTCAACCTGTAAAATACTCCGCGTTGCATCTATGCAACAGCTTGGTATTCTCAACCTCCATACCTCAAAAACCTTTTCTCAGCCTGGATTTGTTCTCCCCGGCTATACCTACGTTGACTATATGCAAGCCTTTTTTCGTGTTCTCTACCTACGACCCTATGACCATTCCTGGTTCTTATCCTTTGACCAGCGGTTCAATAAACACGTACCAGGTTGGTTCAACGAATGGTGGCACTGGTTTGGACCCATTGACCAAATCTATCCACCAGAAATAATCAAAACTTCTTATCCATTCTACACCAAACACCTACCCAACACCAATCCTATTGGACCTCTAAACAAAATTTACTTCCATGCAGACATGGGTATTCCATGGATCTGTTCATGGCATTTCAACCTTGTCCTAGCCCTACCTAATATGCCATACTCTTTAGTCAAAGAATTTCGTGTCAAGTGGTGGGACAAATATAACATCAAAAGATGTTCCCTCACTAATATCAAGAAATTATTTGACGCAAATAAACAAGACCACCTTTTAATCAAATCCATCTCCCGCTCTATTCCACTCTTAACCCCATCACAAATAGCCAACATTCCTCCTTATCATCCACCAACCCAAATCAAACAAGAACCACCAAGCCCAGCTAAAAACAAAAAACCATCAAGCCCTACCCATTCATCCTCCTCATCCCAAAAATCCAAATCAAAAAAATCCAAACTTCAAGCTATGAAGGAAACCCTCAAGGCACTTAGTCAAGAAATGATGAATATATCGTCCGACGACGATAGTGTTCACGGTCAAGAACCCGCCGAAAATCCTGAAGATCTATTTGGCGGACCATTAAGTCAAGACCCTTTTGATTTATAAAAAAAAAACAAAAAATAATAATAATAATAATAATAATAATAATAATAATAATTCATCTCAGACTTTACGACTCACTGGCAAGGTAGATGTTCCAGGCTGCAAGTCCTCAGCGTAGGCCGTAAGACCGATGGTAAATCTCCTTTGTGCGTCTCCAAATCCAAGATGACTCAAATATATTAAAAAAAAAAAAACCCAATAGTATTGTATAGTTTTAAATTTACCTTTAATAATGTATATTCTGGTAGACTCTGTATATTATTTTAAACTTTATGTGTATTCCGGCTATATGCTACACCAGTTAATATCAAAATAAAATACAGAGTATATCTCTGTAAAATCGAAGAATAAATCAAGACACAGGAATTATGACGCAAGCAAGACGTAAGCAATGACGTAAGCAAGGACGTAAGCAAGGACGTAAGCCATGACGTAAGCAATGACGTAATCAAAACTGTCGGCACCGTTAGATGAACGACACGTGTCACAAGAGTGTCGGCACCATCTGATGAGCTCCCAAATTCAAAAGACTATAAGCAGCTTCTCCAATCTTATTCTTATGGTTTAAACGAATGGTGCTC